CAACCCACTAGCGACGACCTCCAACCTTGCTGCTCGCTGTCACTTTTCTTTTGCTTGTGCTACCTACCACCTACTAGCGACGGCCTCCAACCTTAGGCGTTGGCCTCCAACTTCCTTGTGATGGCCTCTAACTTATTACCTGTCTCCTGGTATCTTAGGTTTTTACTTAGGCCGGCGTGTGGCAAACCGCTTTCAAATCAGTACGCAATTCTACAAGCGTGTTATTTTTTGGGGGGTTTGGGGGGGGAAGATTACGGAACCGTCGTCCGCCCCTTGCCCGCCAGGACCTGAAGCCCGCCGGACCAGTGGCTGGGCATTCGTGATCAAGAAGAGAGAGAGAGAGAGAGAGAGAGAGAGAGACAAAGAGTTCTTGCAGAATGGACTTGTTATCCAACCTACTCCTCTATTTTTTGATGGGAATTCCCTCACCGCTGGACATTGCCTACTCAATCTTTTAGGACCTCGTCTCGCCTCCTCCCCTCAGCATCACATCTCGTTCCGCAGCCTTTTTTTAGCTCCCCATCTTTTCGCTCTCCGCCTTCTTTCTTTTTTGCTCTTCCTTTGCTCCATGCCATTCACGCCGGAGCAGCGCCGTGCATATTACGCACGTTTGGCCGCAGCGCGCGGCCGCGGTGCGGGCAAAGGCGACTCTTGTCCGTGCGCCTCTTCATTGCTGTGCACTAAGGAAAGCCCACAGTGGCCCCTCTGTCCGTGCGCAGCGGACGCTCGTGGTGCGAGTGGGGACGAGCGGCGGCGCACGGCCGCCCATGCGCGCACCCGGTACAAGAAAGCCCTTGTGGACCCTGCCCGCCTCTCGCCTGTAACAATTTACTGTGTCGCCTTCCTACTTTTTTCTTTCCCCTCGCCACCCCCATCCCAGGCTATGCAGCCGCTGACCGGCTGTACGTCCTCCTGCCTCCCAGTCGGCTTGGTTACTACTTGCGCGAGCACCGCGCGGACGGCATCGCCCAGGATGAGCTGGTCACTATACCCGGGCACCTTCAGGATCGACGCCCTATTCGATCAATGATGCGCGTAGACAGCGGGACACCGCCCCACAAGCTGCCTCGACGCAGGCACTACCTTTTCGGGACTTATTCTTACATGTTCCCTTTTTGTTCTTGCCCCCTGGAAGGTGATTTATTCCCTGCGCTGTGCAACTGCCGCTGACACTCGGGGGCCCCGCCGTGAGCTTCGGATATCTTTCCAGTCCCTGGCTGGACTCGCTGGAGCGCTGGTAAAGGGCGCTCCATGCTGCTGCTGCGGGCTCCTGCTCGTGGCTGCCGTCGCTGACTCGGTCCGCTGTCCGCAGCGTGTCCCGCACCGTCGTTCTGTAACATGTTCACTTCTACCACACGTCCTGTTTAATTGTTCCGGAGCACATCCCTCGTTGCACTACCCCCCGGCTTCGTGTCGTCACGGTCCTGTACCTATAATACGTTTTCCACATTTTTGCCTGCGGACTTCACAAGTGGAACCTTGCAGGCGGTAGCTGCTACGCTCGACACACACCCATATCACTAACTAAGTAGCAGCCGTCCAAGTAATTAGCTAGCTGTTGCAGGCCTTTGCGCTTCATGGCCTTCATGGTGCAGCGGGCGTCCGGCAGAGTCGGGTGAATGTTTCGGAACACGCTGCAGAAACCACGTTCGCTTGGTAGTGGATGGTGTTCGGGACGGACCATCGGTGTCTAGTGGAGAAGGGGCCGAAAGATGCTTTCCTGAGTGGTTTTGTTTGATCAACTGATGTTACGCTCTGGCATGCAGCTACCCCCTTATAGAGTTGAACCTGTTTTCTCACGACTCACGACTCTCTCGCTTCGCGGCCCTCTCCCAGGCGCGATGACTGTGCGCAGCACCTCCCTACGGAGACCCATGCCCTGCGGGTCCAGCCGCCCTTCGCCCGCCATCGGCGGTGCGAACCGGACTTCCGGTTGGATGCCGCCGGTCTGGAAATGTACACGGTACTTCGTCCGCTGGCCTTTGCCCTTTCCCACACCTATCTCGCCCCGGTCTTCGTCATGGGGTGGCCTTGTGTCTGGGCGAAGTGACTGTCGCAGTTCTTCGAGGGATTGTGGGAGTCACAACCCGAGCCCGGTTGAATCAATTGAAGTTATATATATATAATTACATAGTTGCCGTCGCTGCGGGGCGCCTGGTGTTTTCGTTGCTTTTTCGCCTTCTAAACTCTCGCGCTGCGCTTGAATGTGTTGACATGGGGTGCGGGGGTGGGGCTGAGGCTAATTAGCAGACCTGTTGCGTAGCGCCCTATATACTTGGGTTTGTCTTCTTGCGGGTTAGACTCGGTTAGGCGCACGTTTTGGCCGCGTGCATGCTTTTTTGGCTCAGTCAAGACACGCCGCAACCTTTGTTTCTTGGTTTTTCGGTGCGTTTCATTTCGTTGGTTCTTTTGTTGCCGTTGGCGGGTTTTGTGGACATAGACGAGGTACCCCCGTTTCTTCAACCTTGGTTTCGTGGTCACCTGGGTCAAGTCATCTGGACGACTTGACTTTAGTTTGGTGTAAAGTTCGTAGTGAGGATCCTTCGGTTGGTTTGACCATCGAAATAGTTTTGGACCAGGACCGTTGGTGTTTGGATTTTCAAGGCTTGACGGACTACTCAGATTTTAGCGTTGTTGTTTTTTCCAAATGACTGTTGCCGGCGGGCACCATGTCAATGCTACGCGAGCGTGCCTCTGTTGAGCGTGCTTCGGAAGAGCTTGAAAAGTTGGCTGCCACAAACAGCCCAAAAACACAGGGAAAAGGTGTGAAGGCCACGCATTCAGCAAAGCTGGAGATGCGTGTGTGGCAGTGGGTGTTTCGACGCGAGAAGATGCGTGGATCACCTCAGGAGAACGTTGAAGCGCTCTCCAAAATGTGGAACACGAAGTAGTTTTGGCAAGTGGCGAAAATAGGGTGCGCGCGCGTGCGCCGCAGGGTGACTGGGGGCGTCGTGACTGATTTGCCGACAAGACCAGGCGCCTGGTGGCGTTGTTCCCATATAAAGACCGGGGCAGCACATGGGTCTGCCAACAGGTATATAGTATATAGTTTTAAGATTGAGTTCTCCCGTTGACAGGGGGGTCTTGGGGCGTTGTTGACACATGCCGTCACACAATCCCTGAAGAAGAAGATTCTTGGTTGAGGATGGGGATCCGCCTTCAAAATCTTGGAGTTTTGACAGCCGCACATATCTTTCTTTCTTATTGGGGACCTGTGCCACCCACACCGAGGCCTTGTGGTTACTGGCCGAGCGCCGTTGGACCGGCCCCACACTGCTGCTGGCGCCCACTGTGAATGCCATGGCCTGTGCCGCTGGGCACTGGGAGAACGACTGACCGGAGCTCCGACCGAAACGACTCCGTTCGTGAAAACCCAATCGACCGGGTTCGTTGCTTTTGGCTGAAAGTGCCGCTGAACGTTTCGAGCTGCTTCCAAAAGAGGAGTGTGAACTTCTCAGTAAAAATTTCATGTTGTTCATCCCAGGTTTCGTGCCGTTCAAGTCCTAGGCGGGGCCAGTTTGAGGGCTCTTAAAGCGGTCAAGAGCCAGCCTTCAGTGAAGTTAGTGTGTCAAGAACCCAGCAAATGAGATCCGAACAGCTAGCTTCATGAAGCAAATCTCATGCCTTGTTGACTTCCCACCATTTGACAGCAAGCGGTCTAGAGTCAGTCTGTCTGAACAGCTACCACATGCCTTTGCTAGCCGCCTCGGTGCTTGTTCCCGAAAAGGTTCCCGGCTCCTCGCTCCAGCGCGCCGGTGCATGTCTTCCATGCAGAACAGGAGCATGGGCAGTTACTATCAGTTACTATTAGTAGCCACTAAAAGCAAGTGTTTGCTACCAATAACAAGTGCATCGCTACTAATAACTAGAAAGTACTAGTAACAAGAAAAGGGGTGGAAAGGGGTGCGCAGGGGTGGCCTGTCGTCGGTCGTGGATGCCAGGACGGCTTTTGCCCAGCCTCACAAGTGGCGGCATTGCGAGGGGCCGGGTGCGAGCTGCATTTGTGTCCGGGTCTGAGATGCGACATTCTCGGTACCATATCTTATCCCCTTCGAAAACATGAGAAAACGATGTCTTGAGAATCCTGTGACTGATCTGAACCATCGTGTCTCTACAAGGATGGTGTTTCCGGGTCCCATTTGCAGGGGCCTTCTCCTTTTTCCTGTGAGATACGCAGGAAGATTCATGTGTATGTGCTTTGAGTGTTCTATTTTTGGGATTTTGAACGTCTGGACTTTGAAAGACTTGGTTGGTCAGGTGACGACAATCACGTGCTATTGCGGAGACAAACAGTGGCAGCTTGGCTTCTTGCACGGAGGAAAAATCTGTGCGGCTCTGATTGGAGTCCCTACCTCTGTGCTGGAGTTTTCTAACGCCGATCCGATCTTTATTCCAGCTGCCTGGAAAAGGATGAATGACATTTCTGCCTGCAGACTCTGCCGCGACTGTAACTGAGTCATTATTATCGTGCAATGATCTAAACAACTCCAAAGGCTTTGGAGGTCTCATAAGGCTGTCCATGTGCACCTAAGGAAGAGATCCACAGCTGCCTAAAACAGCTTCTGTCCTTGTCTTCCAGCTCAGATGCTTGGCAGAATCTTTCATGGGAGATGGGTGCATGTGTCTAAGCAGGTGCAATTCGGGAGTGGGGAGCAACCGTCGTGGACCGATCGCGAGTTGGTGTGGAGTGTATCTTGTTTTTTTTGGCCAAGACAGTGCCCGCATGTTTCCAGAGCGCAAGAGAGATTGCTTTCATTCGCGGCTCCGTCATCCTCAGGGTGGCTCACCTATCGGAGCTGACGATGACAGCGAGTGACACCAGAAAAGGGACGATGGCTGCGTGCGCGTGGGGGTCGCGAGCTTGAAACGGACCAAACCAATGCAGGAAACGGAAGAACGGCTCATGCAGGTTGGTTTCTTGGAACCCTCAAATGGATACAGAGAAACCTAGCTGGTTGCTCGGCTGCCTGGCTGGATTGGCACTTTTTCAGCGCCCAAAGGCTCAGCACCTTGCTTCATGTGGTCGTCTACTGGTGGCAGTTGGCTGCCTTTCTGCAGCTGAAGCTCCGGTTCGGAGACCGATCCGGACGACGGTGGAGATCCGAGCGAGAGCGACGAGTGGAAGTCTTCACTCACTTGAGACCATGGGAGTCTTGAGCCCCCAACTGAGTCGAACCCAGCCCACTCAGCCCCTCACCCGCGGACGTACGGAAACCGGTGAAGCAGTCAGTGATCGAACGCGAGGCACCCCGAACTGGTGCGTTTGTATGCTGTGCCTGGTGGCCGCTGGGGCGCCGCACTCCTTTGCGGCCTCAAGGTGCTGGTGGCAGAGGGGTGGGAGAGGGGGTGGGGGCGACCGTGCCATGAAGTCACGAAGTTTGCGCCATGATGTAGTGAACCTTGAGCTATAGGACTTTGTAAAACGACCGTGCCACGTGCCATGTGCTTGATGGTGTGTGCACAACTCGCATTGCATCAGCAAAATCGAGCACGGTAGAGGCTGTGTTCCATGGAGGAAACCAAGGAGATGGGAGCTGTGGGCTGATATCTCGCTGGACAACTGACCTCAAGCGCTGAAACTTCAAGAAAGACTACAATGTTACGAGTGCTACAAGTGAGTGACATTCACATGGGAGTTTCTATCCACAGTCCATCACAGTGCTGTCCTTTTCTGCCCTGGGGGATTGTCCTACCCTTTGGGCAAGGCCAGGGTGAGGCAAGAACGAAGGAATGGTAAAGGAGTCTAAGTCTAAGCAAAGGACAGCAAAGGAAACGTTAAAAAACCAGGAACACCATTTAAACAAAACGAAAAGCCACATACAACATCCCCTTACCTCCCATCTCATTGGCCGTTTCCATGTTCCCACCTTTGACAGGTCGCATCATGTGTCAGGACTTGGGGACCCATACCTCTCTCATCATCGGCACAACTCCCAACTCATCTGAGGGTCGTGTAAAGCTTTTCGGGCGTCTTGGATGAATGACGAGGGCTTTGATGATGCTATAGTCCTTTCGCCCGATCACTCACCTCAAGAAGGTGGGCTTGAAACCCTGCTTCGCGCACGCACATTCCGGGAAGAACCGCCGTGTCCGGGTGCGCTGATGGGAACCCTTCACCCTCCAGACCATCCAAGCGGTTTGTGTCCAGGCCCCGGTGCTGGTGGCCTTGGTGATCACCGGGTGTCAAGACTGGTCCATGGTGCTCGGGGCTCTCCTGGTGCGGGGGCCCGGTCTGTCGCGCCGCCAGGTTGGGTGCCAGGGGCTTCTCATCTCTCACTGTGTTTGTTTCCCCCTTTTGGGGGCATGTGGTCCACCTTGATGGCCCACGAACTCCAACCAGGGGGACATATGCTCGCAGCATGGGCACGGAGCTTTCACGCGATGAACGGCATGCAGATGCTGAAACACGAATCGGCGCCCACCGCGTGAGTTCTTTCTTTGCCTTTGCTAAGCCGCTAAGCTTCTTGTTACTAGTAGTAAGAATGCTCCTAGTAGCAATGCCAGGAGCCCCTAGTAGCATCCTTGCTCCTAGTAGTAAGGCCAAGAGCCCCTAGTAGCGCCGAACGTCCAAAAGTGCCGAAGTGCCCAAGGTCAACGTCCTCTTTTACTTCGTCGTGCAGTGTGTAAAGTCAGAGGCCCCAGTTGGCGGGCTATAGAGGCGTCAGGGATGGAGGGTCGGGTAAGCTGGTGCTTCTCATAGGTGAGGGAGTGCAAGCAAAAGAGCAAGGAGAGCTAAAGGTTGACTAGAGGTCCAGCTTCGTACTAAATAGCAGCGGCATTCTTTAAAACTCTATTTGACCTGGCAAGGAACAGTGTGAGTTTGAGACTACCTTGACAACAAGCAAAAGTTTCATACAAGCTGTTTCCAGGCATTCTTCATCAAGATTTCTTTTGAGACGGGTTACATTCCATGAGAACTCCAGAAATGAACAAAGGTGACGCTTGGGATGACTCGCAGAAGCCTCAGCGGCTTTGGATTGGGAACAAAGTCAAAAACCAGCGACTATTTGCAGTGTTCTTTACAGGCACTGGCGTTTCAGCAGGTGAAAAGGATCATGTAGCGAATGTAGAATCTGTACAGTGTAGAATCTGTGCCTAATGTAGCATGTTTTCGCCTCTTCCTCAAGCTGCCAGCTAGTTGCCAGCTAGTGTCATCGTCTGGGTTCTCCAATCCACCACACTTCGGGGCGCCCCGACCCACGGAACGGACGAGCCGCTTCACTGGAACGAGAGTGAACGAGTGGACCGCGACCACTGAGCTGAAACCACTCGCTGAAACCACACCGCCCAGACTCAGAGGGCCGTGTCAGACTCGCCAGGCTCGCGCGCCAGGCGTGCGCATGATTTTGCTGGAGACCAAAATCACAGAAGTGATTTGCTATCTCACTTGTATCTTCCAGAGGCGAAACGTTGTGCCTCGGGTCAATAGGTCAACATCCGGTCGCATGCATGCTTCTTGAGATCTCAAAGTTGCGCCGGCACATTGGACAGTGAGAGTGATGAGGGAGTGACATTTTACATACCAGGAGAAACATCAGGAAATCGCGCTAGCCTGCAATTTTGTGGGTGCAAGCCTCAGGCTTTGAAGGCTTCATTCGTCTCAGCGAGGCCAGGGAAACTTGCAAGTGGTGGGGGAGCTGGTCAAAGTTGATGAGTCGGAACCTGATACAGTAATTCCTTTTCATGTTCTCATTTCACACCCTTTCGTGGAAGCATCTATATATACTTACTCCAAAAGAATCAATTGAAGGTAGCTTTACACAAGTGAAATAGTCCTGGGATAGGAGGGCAGAAGGGTAACTTGGCCACGACCAAATGAAGTACTTCGACTACCTGTTCCGTTTGTCAAGGCCAAACCATTGAGTCCGCATTGATGACCTTGCGACGGTGGGATCTAGTCGGAAGCTCCGCTAAGGTTGGATATCAACCCAATATGGTTGGTGGGTGAATCCCAAAGATTCTTGTTGCTCGAAGTCCCTACTGGACTGTTTGGTTCAAGGACTGTTTGGCGGTCGGGCTAGACACTTCGCGCTTGCATCACCCCACACAGGTGTCAGTGCCATCACAGCACTGAAGACATGTACACTGCCCTTCTTACACTGGTGCCCTCCGTGGAGTTAGACAGCGGACGTTTGCACCGCACCACTGTACGCCACCCTCTAAGCTGGTACTTTAAATACCTCCGGGTTGATGTTCGTTTCGTCTTCGCTTTGCCTTCGGTTCAGGTCATCGGAAAAGAGGAGTTTGCTCTGACCGAAGAGGAGTTTAGGGAAGGTGAGCTCTGCAAGTTTGCTGAGAGTGGAGAGGCAGATTGCTTTTCAACATGAGTTTTACAGACACGCTGTTCTTCAGAAGAAGCAGGGTGTTCATCATTCTATCCAACAAAATTTCGGGAGGTTTCCAGGTCGCAACTGTGCCTTGCTTGGAAAGGTTTCACCAGCTGCTTAGCCTTAAGCAAGCTGTCCAATGTTGATGAGTCCTGTTTGCTACGCCCAGGAAAAGGGTCGAAGTAAGAGAGACATGTGGTAAGATGTATAGAGATGCATTTGACGCCAACATCAGCTGAAAGCCAGGCTTGCTGGCAGACAACATGCTTCAAGACGCCAGCAAGGCCTGCGTTGTATTTGCAAAATTTGCACCTTTGCTGTGTGCCCCATTGAATACCAAAACTCTTTTTGGGAGGTTTCCTTCTATGGCCTTGCAGGGAACGCAGGAGCCTCAAGAGTGCTGTGGTCTCTTTTTGTGGAAAGAGACCATGAGCGGGGAGGAGAAGTCCGTGATCGATCTGTCACGATGGTGTGAGGCTGGGAGTTTCCGATCCGAAGAAGTGTCGCCTATGACTTGTGTGGGTATGTGAGGGTGTTTCAATCGACCCAAGTCACTTTTTTTTGGTTTCATAACACCTCGGATTCATAACGCCAGGGAGTGGGTTCCCAGTCGCTTCATCGTGGGTTTCTTCAGCGAACGCGAGCGATCCCTCCGCTCCCGAGGCCCCACAGAATGTCGGCGAAAACCACGGAGAACCCAGGCCGGAGAAAGATCGCCGAGCAGTTTCGACTGCGTTTCGACACCATCCTTTTGGGGAATCATAACAAGTTGAACACTATATATAGTAATATAATGTATATATATATATAACATATAATATATAAAGTATATATATAGAGTTTGCCTCAACAGGGGGCTATTTTTGCGTGTCTACGAGCGTCGTAACTTGCCCCCTCTGCGCTCAGAGCAAATTTTGAGGTCTCGCCTGCCCAGCAATGTCTTAGAATGATATCGTTGCTGACTCCATCATCTAGGAGCAAGGACGCGACTAGGGGCTCCTGGCCATACTAGGAACAAGTGCCTTACTAGTAGTAACAGGTGCCTTACTACTGGTAACAAGAAGCTATTAAAGACAATAAGCTACTGTACTAGGAACAAGTGCCTTACTAATAGTAACAGGTGCCTTACTACTAGTAACAAGAGACTATTAAAAACAATAAGCCTAGGAACAAGTGCCTTACTAGTAGTAACAGGTGCCTTACTACTAGTAACAAGAAGCTATTAAAAACAATAAGCTACTAGGAACAAGTGCCTTACTAGTAGTAACAGTTGCCTTACTACTAGTAACAAGAAGCTATTAAAAACAATGAGCTACTAGGAACAAGTGCCTTACTAGTAGTAACAGGTGCCTTACTACTAGTAACAAGAAGCTATTAAAAACAATAAGCTACTAGGAACAAGTGCCTTGCTAGTAGTAACAGGTGCCTTACTACTAGTAACAAGAAGCTATTAAAACAATAAACTACTGAAATGCATGTATTTGCTTTGTACACAGAATCCATTAATTTTGTGTCCAGCATGCATCGGCTCTGCGGCTCTGGCAGGTGCATGGTACCCGGTACCCTTTGTTCAAGGTGAACGGCTTCAGCGATAGAAGATCTACAGCCTACAGACAGGTTGTGAGGGCCTTGCACTTTGGCAGTTTGCAGTTCTTTGTTCAGCAGTTTTTTGCGAAAGAAAACGACCTTTTTCTCAGCTATTGAGCCGTTTGGTATTGTTCCTGACAGCTTCCGCTGCCTGACAGCAGCTTATTTGGTCTCAAGCATCGACGATAAAACGAAGTAAACAAAGCACCATGGCGCTGCAATACCTCAAAGAAATAGACGGAGACTTGGCCGAACGCGTCTCTGTTGTCAAGGACATGGACCTTCGCTTGGTGCTGATTGATGCAACCAACGGGGTGGACAAATTCTGCCATCTTCAAGGGCTTCAGGATTCGAGTTTGAGCCATCCTGCTTTTTACTGTTTCTCCTGTTGGGGAGACACCGGCAGCAGAGGGAAGAAAGTGCAAACTAATTTGCTGGGGCCATTCTCAGAAGAGCATATGCGCAGCAAAGTGGAGGAGATTTTTGAAGAGCGGACTGGATGCAAGATGGAGAATCTCAAGGCCGGCGATCGCGCTCTGCCAGGAAAGTATTGGTTGCAACAACAAATTGCCAAAGAGGCCGAAGAGGAAGGGACGTTTCGATGGGAGTACTATGTCGATGACGGAGTGGATGGTAAGCGCAAAGGGTGGCATCCGTATGAAGATGAAGCCTCAGAGGAGGTTGAAGAGCTCTACTTGCAACATGTCGCCAACGAAAAGGAGAGTCGAACCGCAACAAGAGTGATTTCTTCAGGATACTTCTCTTACAAGGTTGATTTGCAGCGCATGACGCAGCAGAACACCAAGACTGGCAAGGTTCGGACCATTCGACGAACGGCTTCAGCCAAGGCTTCGAAGCCTCTGCCGAAAGGATCGAAAGTGGCCAAGAAGACCGTGAAGAAGTTGCCTTCGAAGAGGGTGAAGAAGACAGTGTTGAAAAAACCAGCCGAGAAGGCTATGAAGTCAAGGGTGAAGGCCATGAAAGCCAAGTTGACCAAGAAAGCCAGTCCGATTGCTTCAGGAAAGTATGCGAAATCAAAGGTGTGGAGTGGGAAAAAAGCAAAGACATCAACTGGCTTGAAAAAGGCAGACTTGAAGAAGAATAAGGAGGGAAAACTTGTGAGCAAGAAACAGTCTGAAGCTGGGAGGAAGGCCTTTGCACACGTTGCTTGTTGGATTGCAGCCTGCAAACAAGCCAGAGCTGAGTTGGGCATCACCGGCTTTGTTGCAGTGAAGAAGGGCACTCCCTTGTACGAGAAGGCAAAAGCTCTGCACCCAACAGCGAAGCCACACATCCTTGAGGGGAGGAAGTAGACCAACCTTTGCTGTTTGAAGGCGGCTATCCCACCGTCGCCTGTGATGCGCTTGAGATTTGTGCCAGCTCCTGGATCCAGGTGCCTCCAAGATTGTACAGTGCAGGATCGTATCGTGGGTTATACAGGAGACGGCTCAGCCCCACAAAGTGGGAAGGCTGATGTTTTGTCGCAAGTTGAGATTTGCTGGTGAGCAGTATGCAACATGCTGCTGATCGGCATTAAAGTAAGCTCATCCTGAAAAGGTGTCTCGAGCCACATGAAACCGCAGATAACATGTCTCGGCCTCATTAGGCATAGGCTCCCGAAATCGATGAAATGCGCTGTCTGAGCTTTGGATCAGGTACATGCAGAGGGCCATGCAGGTACATGCTGGAAGATGTTGGTTGCGGGTGTGTGGACCTCAGCGGTTTGTGCGGTTGTTCTTTTTGTTGGAGAAGTGCATCCTGCAGCAGGCTAGCTTTCTTATCTCCAGATTCATCCTGACTTCTGCAAGGTCAGCTTTCATTATAAGGTCTCCAAGCCTTACTGTCATATTGGGTGTTCTCGAATGCATCAAGAACTCCTCAAACACTGCCACTGGAGGCGGCTGGGGCAAAAGCACTGACCGAACTGCGTGCGAAAAGTGGAGTGGGCGATGGTCAATCAGGGTGGCCGTTTGTGCGACCCGACCTCTTTCATCCTTTTTAGCCAGGACAGTCGATTTTCCAGACCTTCCATGGAAATCAGTAGGTTGGCTCCCTAGGCCACAGCCACCTTTGACCACTTCTCGCAAATCAGGTTTGGTTGAAAAGGCAGCCTTGTCTCATGACTAGTGACTAGTGGTAGGGTTGCTTGTATTGTGGATTATTACGGTATCGATCCGGTATTCCATATTATTGGTGTCCTTTAAAAGATCAGATCGCGACCGATTTCAATTCATGTCATTGTCCGGAATTTGGGAGCACTACTTGAGAAGAAGGACCCAGAACCAAGCAATGCGACCGAACTCAGCAATTTGCCAGAGAAGGTGAGGATGTTCTTCAGATTTCGTAAGGTCTGGGAATCATGTGGGAACAACAAGGCAACCTTTTTTTTTTGGGATGGAATCAACGTGTTGGGATGCGAGACGGTCTGAATGTCTTGCGACCGGAATGCTCTTGGTACATGCTCTTGGAATTGCAGAGCCGGGATCGTTGGAAGGGGGGGAAGGGGAAGGGGTCTTCAGCAGATTGGCAAATGAAGCAGTTGTTCTCATTGTATGCGTGGACGGTCTGAATGAGTGGACTACCGGTCAGTCTAAAACGCCTTTCAGGTCCTAGAAAAGGACACCGGTGCATGTGAGGAATGTGGGGGACAAAAAAAGGCTGTCCAATGTGCACCGCAACTGTGTGAGGATCGGCTGAACCCTCCAGTGAACAGCTGACATGCTTTTAAGTCCATTTGGACATGGATCATCCATTCAACATCATGGAAATTCCTGAACTCACCAACTGATGCTTAACGTCACCAACGTCACCCAACGCATCAGCAATGATGTTCTCAGACTCTCCGGGACCAACGTGCGGCTCCTCGACACGCCCCTGGGAAACAGGGTGCCCACGACCTGCGCAGTGACCATGGCGCGCACCGTCCTCTCTCCTTCCCCGGCCACTGCGGCTTGGGTGAAGCAGGTTTACGTCGCGAAAGTGAAGGGATTCCTTGCGTCGCCAAGAACAAAAGACTGTGCACTGTGAACGAACATTGTATTGGAATTCAATTCAGGTAGGTCTGGTGCAATGCTTCCTCCGAACGAATCCGAACCAACCATTCCGAAGCCGGAGTCGGTCGCCCTTCGAACGAGTCGGTCGAAACAGTGAATGTCAGGTGGCTCAGCAATTGTCGGACTTGCTGCAATGCTTCCCAGCCGCTGCCATTGGGGGTGTACAGTGGAAGACGCTCTTGCAAAAGTACGAGGAGACGCCCGGACCCGCTCGGTCGGGCTCGGCTTGTGGCCGCTTTTGGGGAGCAAGCTGCTCTCTGTGAGGGAGGGGGCCTTCGCTGGGGGTGTTGGAGAATGTCCTGCGCGGTTCTGCGCTCGTCGAGCTCGGTGTGCTGCCGATTTGGACCCCGCGCTCGTCTTCGACTCGGTGTGCAGGAGCGCCACAGCACGCGCTTGGACCTGAACGCGCTGGGCCATGCCTCGCCCTTGGCGGCCACCACCACCCTCCTTTGGGAGGCCAGTCGAAAGGGGGGATGGGCGGCGGTCGGCCGCATGTCCGCCCGCACCAACCCGCACCAAGCTCCAGTGTCACGTGGTGTTGTCGTGGATCGTACCAGGGGTTGTTGGGGTCGGGGGCCAGGGGGGTCTCCCTACTACGAAAAGACCTGCATGGGATGAGCTTGAACCGTGCAAGCCCGTGGCCATCGCCGGGACGGCGGAGGGACCGGTGACTGGAGTGGAGGAACAGGTCTCCGAAGATCCAGATGCCTCAGATCCACTCACTTCACCTGATGTGTGGCATGTAATATTTTGTAAGATCCAAATATATAGATCCAATGTCTTAGATCAAAGTGACATTAGGTCAATGGAGTTTTCTCACACGCTAGGAGATATCTATGATATGTTTCCCAAACACAGGGAGCTCATTTATGCCTGGAACATAGAAACAGGCCTCTGATACACGGACTGCACCCGGACATCGTTGATGTCTTTCCAACCCGAGAAGCCTGCGTTTTGTGGGACGTGCCGGTAGCGGTGGAGACGGCGGTGCTGCGCCGGTGGAGGTGTTGCGCATCGTTGACTCAGAAGATGGAGACAACCCCGTGGTTGCCGTCGAGGATTCCGTGGCTTTGGCGACTCGGATTCAACGGGCGACCGGGAATCGACGAAGATTCTCTTCCAGCGAGATCCAGCGAGCAGTTTTTGAGGCCCTCAGGATAGAACATGCTAATGCTCACCAGTTGGGTATGGAGATGGGGACTCGCACCGAAGCTGTGCAGAACGAGAAGGATGTCTTCAGCGCCAATTGATGGAGTCCGGCTTGCATATCTTCTTTCAGCATCGGAGAGAGTGCAGCGGTCAGGGTCCAAACCTTTGGAGCCATCTAATAAAGGTAAGTACACCTTAGATCCAAGTGACCCAGACTCCGAAAACGTTGGAGCTTGGATCTCCACGGCCGGAGCCACTAATGGGTGGCTCCGGCCGTGGTTCGGTGGGACTCGGAAGTTGGCTGGCCGGGCGGGTGGTGCGGGAGCTTGATGTGGGGAGCTTCATTCCCAGGTGCCCAAGCCTGGGAGTGCCGCCTGCTGGCCATCACTTTATCAGGTCGGGTGGAGGTGGAGGTCCTGAAAGGGTGGAGGTCGCAAGCGAGGCATGGGCGTTTTTTGCGAGGCATGGGCGGTGGACGTGGAATCTCTGGACGTCTTTTTCGTTTCTTGGGCGGATTTCAGCGGGTTTGACGGGTGTGACTCGGTTTGACTGTATATCGAAACCCCTTTGGAGGATGAAACGCATGACAAGTGGCTGCAGTGTGCTGGTGAGTGACAGCCAAATGGCATTACTGGCGCTAGGAATGGAAACAGGCCCACAAAATCCTATGACGAGCCTCGCAGATCATGCGTTTGCTTCAAATTGGCCGGATTCGCATCCTCCAAGCAGACAGTTCAAAAAATAAGAACTGCACGGCCAGCAAGAGACCAACCCCCCCCGTTGGGGGCAGACCAACCATGGATATTTGTTTTGCTCTCTGGACAGGACATCGTTCATCGTTCCCTCCCCCGAAACCGGCGACCTCCGTTGAGAGATCTCTCGCCGACCGCCCGGACGACGCAGGTGCTGTGCCACGTTCTTCGTGAGCACGGCGCGGTCGATGAGGACCCGGAGCCCGGTGGACCCGGTGGACCCGGAGCCGGACGGGGACGGTGGGATCCTTCGGGGTGAGGCTACTGGCTAGACCAGCTGAAGAAGTGCAGGCCAGAAGCGCAACAAGGTGGTGCAGACCCTTTGCTAGCACTTTTATCAACATTCAAGAACTGGCCTTTAAAAAAACAACCTACTGTATCATATTTTTGCACCATTGAACCCTGACGTCAACGGTCTCTATTTGTGGTGCCCCATAAAGAGCAAGACTCAAGACGGATCTTTTGGGGTGATTTCTTTGGATCTCAGCCAGGATTCTGGCTCCCAAACTCTTCACCGGTCGTTTCGGGGCTGGGTTCATCAATGATCTTGACTATCTACTGGACTTCCGGTGGGGTCAACCCCCCACACACCCTTCCGCCCTCAGGGTCTTGCCATCGCCCAATCTTTTGAGGTCTGGGTCGCTGCGCCGTGAATGGGACGGTCCGACGTCGTTCCCTCGAGGAGGGGCAGAAAGCCATCCTGGTGTCCCAGCTGAAGCCTCTCTTGCAGCGGAACTGGCACAACACCTTTGATGAGGCTGGAGTCCGAGAATCTTCCCGCCCGTGCCTCCACGAGGGGAGCTTGGAGCGGCTTGTGGAAGGAAGCATCCCGTGTTCTTCTGGCAGCTGCTCACCGAAGGAACCGCTTGAGTGACTTAAACTTTAAATTACCATGATCATCCATGATCCTAGTCTGCAGATGTTTGCAGCTCCTCCTCGAGGGTGAAATTGATGAGAGTCCATCCCAAAAAGGGAGTCCGAGAGGAGTCCAATCGTCATTTCACTTACAGTGTTTTCAGAGTAGATGGCACTGGCACCCCAAGAAATCTTTTTGATGGGGGGTTCTATATTATAAACCACCACCGAGTTCAGTGGGGGCCCAAGGGTGCCATCTCTTCTGAAACCCTACCACTCTTTTTCAAGCTACAAAACCCCACACCGTCAACTCCGCATGGACCGAGCACCCGATCGGGTCGCGGGCGATCGCTCGTATACACCGATCGCTACTCGTTCGGGCGAGCGTCGGTTCGGTGGGAGGCGAGCTTCGGGTATTTGACGGAGGAGGGCTCTTCGGTGAAGATGCGCAAGATGAAACACCTCCTCCAGGCGAAGTTTGGAAGGGAGCGGATGCTGGAGCCGGTCCCGTTTTTTTTTTGATTGAGATCTGAAAAGATATGAACAACATTGAACAAGTATGTCTAATTCATGATCATATATATAATCATATAATATCATATAAATATGTTTCTGATGAACCCTCCCGAATAAGCGAATTTAAAGTGTCATTCCTGAAAGAGATGTGTGCTATGAGGTTTGTCGACTGGGTGTTTTGTATTCCCGTTGTTGCACACAGCTGCCAGAACAGTTGAGCATCCTCAAACA